CTGGACGAAAAATTACTGGTGGATGATACACTACTGGTGGATGATACGTTTCTGATGGATGATACATTACTGTAGGATGATACATTTCTGCTGGACGATACATTACTGGTGGATGATACATTACTGGTGGATGATACATTACTGGTGGATGATACATTACTGGAAGATGATACATTTCTGCTGGACGACGCATTACTGGTGGATGATACATTACTGCTGGATGATGCATAACTGCTGGACGATTCATTACTGCTGGATGATACATTATTGGTGGATGATACATTACTGCTGGACGGAGCATTACTGGTGGATGATATATTTCTGGTGGACGATGCTTTACTGGTGGATGATACATTACTCGTGGATGATACATTTCTGGTGGATGATACTTTACTGGTGGATGATACATTGCTTGTCGATGATACATTTGTGGTGGATGATACTTTAATGGAGGATGATAAATTACTGGTTGATGACATATTACTGTTGGACGATACATTACTGGAGGATGATTCATAACTGGAGGATGATACATCACTGGAGGATGATACATTACTAGTGGATGATACGTTACTGATGGATGATACATTACTGGTGAATGATACATTACTGGGGGATGATAAATTACTGGTGGACGAAAAATTACCGGTGGATGATGCATTACTGGTGGATGATACATTACTGGTGGATAATGCAATACTGGTGGATGATAAATTACTGGTGGATGATACATTACTGGTTAACGAAACATGACTGGTGGATGATACATTACTGGAGGATGATACATTGATGCTGGATAATACACTACTGGTGGACGAAACATTACTGGTGGATGATAAATTACCCGTGGATGATACATTACTTGACGACGATACATTTTAGGTGGTCGAAATATTACTGGTGGAGGAAAAATTACTGGTTGATGATACATAAAATGGTGGTTGATACATTTCAGATGGATGATACATTACTGGTGGATGATACATTACAAGTGGAAGAAACATTACTGGTGGACGAGAAATTACTGGTGGATGATACATAAACTGGTGGATGATACATTATTGGTGGGTGATATATAACTGGTGGATGATACATTACAAGTGGATGATACATTACTGGGGGATAATACATTACTGGGGGACGATACATAACTGGTGGACGAAGCATTGCTGGTGGATGATACATTACTGGTGGATGATACATTACTGGTTGATAATACATTACTGGTGGACGAAACATTACTGGAGGATGATACATTGCTGGCGGATGATACATTACTGGTAGATGATACATTACTGGAGGATGATACATTACTGGTGGATGATACATTACTGGTGGAAGAAACATTAATGGTGGATGATTCATTACTGGAGTATGATACATTACTTTTGGATGATACATTACTGGTGGACGAAACATTACTGGTGGATGATTCATTACTGGTGGACGAAACATTATTGGAGGAAAAATTACTGGTGGATTATACATAAACTGGTGGATGATGCATTACTGGTGGATGATACATTACTGGTGGATGATACATTACAGGCGGAAGAAACATTACTGGCGGACGAAAAATTACTGGTGGATGACACATAAACTGGTGGATGACACATTACTGATGGATGATACATTACTTTTCGAAGAAACATTAATGATGGACGAAACATTACTGGTGGATGATACATTACTGGTGGATGATACATTACTGGTGGATGATACATTACTGGTGGATGATACATTACTGGTGGAAGAAACATTACTGGTGGATGATACATTACTGGTGGATGATACATTACTGGTGGATGATACATTACTGGTGGATGATACATTACTGGTGGATGATACATTACTGGTGGATGATACATTACTGGTGGATGATACATTACTGGTGGAAGAAACATTACTTGTGGATGATACATTAATGGTGGATGATACATTTCTGGTAGATGAGACATTACAGGAGGATAATACATTAATGGTGGAAAAAACATTAATTGTGGATGATACATTACTGGTGGACAATTCATTACTGGAGGATGATACATTGCTGGTGGATGACACATTACTGTTGGATGATGTATTATTGGTTCGTGACACATTACTGGTGCATGATACATTAACAGTGGACAAAATATTGCTGGAGGAAAAATTACTGGTGGATTATACATAAACTGGTGGATGATGCATTACTGGTGGATGACACAGTACTGGTGGATGACACAGTACTGTTGAATGATACTTCTGGATGATTCATCACTGGTGGATGTTACATTAATTTAGGATGATACATTATTGGTGGATGATACATTAGTGGTGGACGATACATTCCAGAAGGATGATACATTACTGGAGGATGACACATTTCTGGTGGATGGTACAATACTGGTGGATGATACATTTCTGGTTGATGATACATTACCGGTGGATGATACATTACTGGTGGATGAATCGTTACTGGTGGATGATACATTACTGGTGGATGATACATTACTGGTGGATGATACATTACTGGTGGATGATACATTACTGGTGGATGATACATTACTGGTGGATGATACATTACTGGTGGATGATTCATTAATCAGGGATGAAACATTACTGGTGGATGATACATTAAACATTTCTGCTGGATGATGCATTACTGGTGGATGATTCATTAATCAGGGATGAAACATTACTGGTGGATGATACATTTGCGGTGGATGATGCATTACTGGTGGATGATACATTACTGGTGGATGATACATTACTGGTGGATGAAACATTACTGGTGGATGATACATTACTGGTGGATGAAACATTACTTGTGGATGATACATTACTGGTGGATGAAACATTACTGGTGGATGAAACATTACTGGTGGATGATACATTACTGGTGGATGAAACATTACTGGTGGATGATATATTACTGGTGGATGAAACATTACTGGTGGATTATACATTACTGGTGGATGAAACATTACTGGTGGATGATACATTACTGGTGGATGAAACAATATTGGTGGATGATACATTACTGGTGGATGAAACATTACTGGTGGATGATACATTACTGGTGGATGAAACATTACTGGTGGATGATACATTACTGGTGGATGAAACATTACTGGTGGATGAAACATTACTGGTGGATGATACGTTACTGGTGGATGAAACATTACTGGTGGATGATACATTACTGGTGGATGAAACATTACTGGTGGATGAAACATTACTGGTGGATGATACATTACTGGTGTATGAAACATTACTGGTGGATGATACATTACTGGTGGATGATACATTACTGGTGGATGAAACATTACTGGTGGATGATACATTACTGGTGGATGAAACATTACTGGTGGATGATACATTACTGGTGGATGAAACATTACTGGTGGATGAAACATTACTGGTGGATGATACGTTATTGGTGGATGAAACATTACTGGTGGATGATACATTACTGGTGGATGAAACATTACTGGTGGATGATACATTACTGGTGGATGATACATTAGTGGTGGATGTCATAACTCACACTTTGTGTCTTTTAGTTATAATTATGACAACTTGAGGAAGAAGAATAGTGAACTTTGAAACAAATTTGTGATTTCTCACATTTCCTAGATAATGTGAGATTTCACGAATGTGCTTGGAAATTTACTGTTCTTTTCACTGTCGTTGTTCTGTATATTGTGATATCATCTGTTTACTCTGATATTATTGTATAACTATGACAAGAGTAAAGTAAATCCACCATATAATAAACATCGATATATATTTCATTTGTATAATAACAGAAAATCCACTACATGAATTGTAGCCCGGTCTTGGCTCCTTTTCTCAGGAGTATGTCAGACCAATGACTGCCATGGTAGGAGGTACAAGTACCTACTCGTCTTCTGGGACTAACTGTACCCAGGCCTTGCCCCATTCCTCGCCCTCATGGGGCTCGGAGTGAGAAGGTAGGCGTCTTGGGCTGCCACAAACCCAGCCCACACTGAGCTCAAAGGGAGTGGCAGCTGTATAGCAGCAGACAATGTCAGGAGATGGAAAGGAAGCAAGCACTACAGAATCCTTTTGGAGTCACCCCCAGCTTTAAACATTGCGTCTGAGCACTGGGGAAGCATAAGAATACCTCTTGCTGTGAGTGTTGCTGCTGCTAGTTCACTTGTCCGTTGCAGTCACTCAAGTACAGTAAACAATCTGACTAGCAGACTAACTGGGAGGGGGTGGGGAGAGGGCCTGGAATGATAACTGTTGTGGTTAAGGAAAAGATTGTTTTGTTGTGACTGTAACAACAACGAACAATTCTGCCAACAACGAACTTTCTCCATTGTTGTCAAATCTACTGACCCAATAGATACTATTCTGCATTTCCGAATTCCATTAAATGGAGGTCTGTTAAACAAAAGTCCATTAAATGAAGGTTTGTTCAACGGTGGTCGATTAAATGTTGGTGTGACTCACACAAGTGTTTTTGTCTATGGAAAAATGTTTCTGTACTTAACGAAGGTTCAGTTCCATTTCCAAATTTCCAGAGTGAGTGGCAAGTAATTCAGGGATGATTATATAAATCACAGCGATCACTCTTCTGTTGCGACGCCATGATTATTGTTTGTAAATTGCGACTGCATGATGCAGAGTCAATAAGTGTTGCAAGTGTTTCTAGTTGTGATGTTTGTCACAACTCTGCTAGACTCAACACAAGCAACTTAAGGAAAGTCAGAATACCGTGAGTGGTACAACACATCAATAACTCACACATACCAGAAAGAACCTTATGACAACATTTCGGTCCAATTTGGATCACTGCAAGTCACACTGTGACTTGTCAATGATCCAGATCAGACTGAAACATCGTCACAAACTCTCTCCTATGTGCGCGTTATTTATGTACTGCAACTTAAGAGATACTGTAATAAATACCCTAGATTAGTCATATTTAAACTGGAATATAAGAGTATGTTGCAGTGTTGAGCAACAGCAACAACACCATTAAGTCATACCTAAGAGCTGGCAAGCTTGGAGAGTGTTGTTGAGCAGCAACAGCAGCACAGTGCAGCAAGATAGACCTCAACAAGCTTGGTACTAACATCAATCTTCCAACCTTCTCTTGTTGCAGTACCTCAACCAGTTGCTCCACATCCTGAGTTATACTCTGAGTGAGACACAATATCCTGAGTTATACTCTGAGTGAGACACAATATCCTGAGTTATACTCTGAGTGAGACACAATATCCTGAGTTATACTCTGAGTGAGACACAATATCCTGAGTTATACTCTGAGTGAGACACAATATCCTGAGTTATACACTGAGTGAGACACAATATCCTGAGTTATACTCTGAGTGAGACACAATATCCTGAGTTATACTCTGAGTGAGACACAATATCCTGAGTTATACTCTGAGTGAGACACAATATCCTGAGTTATACTCTGAGTGAGACACAATATCCTGAGTTATACTCTGAGTGAGACACAATATCCTGAGTTATACTCTGAGTGAGACACAATATCCTGAGTTATACTCTGAGTGAGACACAATATCCTGAGTTATACTCTGAGTGAGACACAATATCCTGAGTTATACTCTGAGTGAGACACAATATCCTGAGTTATACTCTGAGTGAGACACAATATCCTGAGTTATACTCTGAGTGAGACACAATATCCTGAGTTACACTCTGAGTGAGACACAATATCCTGAGTTATACTCTGAGTGTAACTAAACATCCGGAGTTATACTCTGAGTGTAACTAAACATCCTGAGTTATGCTCTGATTGTAACTAAACATCCTGAGTTATACTCTGAGTGTAACTAAACATCCTGAGTTATACTCTGAATGTAACGAAACATCCTGAGTTATACTCTGAGTGAAACTAAACATCCTGAGTTATACTCTGAGTGAGACACAATATCCTGAGTTATACTCTGAGTGTAACTAAACATCCTGAGTTATACTCTGAATGTAACAAAACATCCTGAGTTATACTCTGAATGTAACTAAACATCCTGAGCTATACTCTGAATGTAACTAAACATCCTGAGTTATACTCTGAATGTAACGAAACATCCTGAGTTATACTCTGAATGTAACGAAACATCCTGAGTTATACTCTGAATGTAACTAAACATCCTGAGCTATACTCTGAATGTAACTAAACATCCTGAGTTATACTCTGAATGTAACAAAACATCCTGAGTTATACTCTGAATGTAACTAAACATCCTGAGTTATACTCTGAATGTAACTAAACATCCTGAGTTATACTCTGAATGTAACTAAACATCCTGAGTTATACTCTGAATGTAACAAAACATCCTGAGTTATACTCTGAATGTAACGAAACATCCTGAGTTACACTCTGAATGTAACTAAACATCCTGAGCTATACTCTGAATGTAACTAAACATCCTGAGTTATACTCTGAATGTAACGAAACATCCTGAGTTATACTCTGAATGTAACTAAACATCCTGAGCTATACTCTGAATGTAACTAAACATCCTGAGTTATACTCTGAATGTAACTAAACATCCTGAGCTATACTCTGAATGTAACTAAACATCCTGAGTTATACTCTGAGTGAAACAAAACATCCTGAGTTATACTCTGAGTGTAACTAAACATCCTGAGTTATACTCTGAATGTAACGAAACATCCTGAGTTATACTCTGAATGTAACTAAACATCCTGAGCTATACTCTGAATGTAACTAAACATCCTGAGTTATACTCTGAATGTAACGAAACATCCTGAGTTATACTCTGAATGTAACTAAACATCCTGAGCTATACTCTGAATGTAACTAAACATCCTGAGTTATACTCTGAGTGAAACAAAACATCCTGAGTTATACTCTGAGTGTAACTAAACATCCTGAGTTATACTCTGAATGTAACGAAACATCCTGAGTTATACTCTGAATGTAACTAAACATCCTGAGCTATACTCTGAATGTAACTAAACATCCTGAGTTATACTCTGAGTGAAACTAAACATTCTGAGTTATACTCTGAGTGAAACAAAACATCCTGAGTTATACTCTGAGTGTAACTAAACATCCTGAGTTATACTCTGAGTGTAACTAAACATCCTGAGTTATACTCTGAGTGTAACTAAACATCCTGAGTTATACTCTGAGTGTAACTAAACATCCTGAGTTATACTCTGAGTGTAACTAAACATCCTGAGTTATACTCTGAGTGTAACTAAACATCCTGAGTTATACTCTGAGTGTAACTAAACATCATATCACTACGCAATGGTAACCATCAGTTAATAGCAATTAGCATCATTCAGCAAACTAAACAGACTTAACACTACGTACTATATATTACAATGATGTTAAGTGCTAAACTTGCATGGGTCATAACACTGTCTGGGAAATGAGAGACAATTAGATTTGATCTGAGGATGACGAAGGTAGCAAAAACTCTTGCAGCAAGATTATTACTATCATTATTATGTTTATTATCATTTTCAACATAGCGGCCGTCTCCCACCGAGGCAGGGAGACCCGGAGCAAAACAGAACAGCAGGCAGGCCCCGCTTTACAGCTCTTCACTTTACAGCATTTTGTTAATGCAGCGGTTTACAATTATACCCATTATTTATTTATTCTGACTTCAGTAAATATATTCATCATTACTATGACTTAAGGATGAAAATAATTTAAGGTAAGTAATGTGTGTATTACATGTGTAATTTTAAGACCTAGTTCTATTGCTCACTTAATATATGATAATGTAAAAAACCCTTTTCAGGGTTTAAAACCATTTTAAAGTGAAAAAAAGTTTTTATACACTTTACAGGGAATTTCCCCTTTTAGCCCTTTTCCCGGGGCCCTAAAACCCCCGTATGACGGGGCTGTCCTTTTTTAAAGTTTTTTTAATTTTTGTGGATGGGGTTTGCCTCTTGTAACACCCATGACTTACAGAAGGAAAGGGGTTTTCTAGCCCCTTGTTGCTGGCATGGTCGTCCCCCTCTTGTAACCCCCTGCTTTCAGAAGGGGTGTTTCTAGCCCCCTTTTTGCTGGCATGGTCGTCGCCTTTGTAACCCCATGACTTACAGAAAGGGGGGGGGGGGGTTTTCTAGCCCCTTGTTGCTGGCATGGCGCCCTCTTTCAAAACCCCCTGATTACGAAGGGGGTGTTACTGCCCCTTTTGCGGGGAGGTTTGCCCCTTTTTAACACCCATGACTTACAGAAGGAGGAGGTTTCTTTTTCCCCTTTTTGCTGGGGATGATCGTCGCCCCTTGTAACACCCATGAATTACGAAGGAGGGGTTACCGCCCCCTTGTTTCTGGCAAAGGTCGCCCTTTGTAACAAACCCCTGACTTACAGAAGGAGGTGTTACTACCCCTTGGTTTCTGGCATGGTCGTCGCCAAATTGTTAAAAACCCAAAGAATTAAAAGGAGGGTTTTACTAGCCCCTTGTTTTGGGGATGGTTTTGTCGAATCTTGTAAAACCCTTTTACTTACCCGGGAAAGGGGGGGTTACTAGCCCCTTGGGTTTCTGGGATGGTTTGTCGCCTTTTTTTTGTAAAAACCAATGGGGCTTTCAGAAGGAGGTGTTACTAGCCCTTGTTGCTGGGAGGGGCGTCGCCTTTGTAAACAAACCCAAAAAAACCCCTTTTTTTTCCCCGAAAAGGAGGGGGGGTTTTTTTTTTTTTTTTACTAGCCCCTTTTTTGCGGGAAAGGTCGTCGCCCCTTTTTAACACCCATGACTTTTCGAAGGAGTGTTTTCTAGCAACTTGTTTTGGGATGTTTGTCGCCTCTTGTAACACCCATGACTTACAGAAAAAAGGGGGGTTACTAAACCCCCTTTTTTGGGTGGCATGGTCGTCGCCTCTTGTAAAAACCCCCTGACTTTACAGAAAGGGGGTGTTTTCTAGCCCCTTGTTGCGGCATGGTCGTCGCCCCTTTTAACCCAATGATTTTCCCGAAGGAGGGTTACTAAACCCCTTTTTGCTGGGGAAAGGTCGTTTTGGGCCCCTTTAACACCCTTTACTTTCAGAAGGGGGTGTTACTTGCCCCCCCTTTTTGCTGGCATGGGCGTCGCCCCCCTTGGGAAAACCTAAAGACTTTAAAAAAGGGGTGTTACTTGGCCCCCTTTTTTGCTGGGGATGGTCGTGCAATCTTTTAACACCAAAGACCTTTCGAAGGGGGTGTTACTAGCCCCCCTTTTTGGGTGGCATGGTCGTCCCTCTTGTAACACCCATGAATTACAGAAGGAGGTGTTAATAGCCCCTTTTTTGCTTTGGGATTTGGGCGTCGCCTCTTGTAACCCCCCCAAAGATTACAGAAGGAGGTGTTACTAGCCCCTTGTTTGCTGGCATGGTCCCCCCCCCTCTTGTAACAAACCCAAAGACTTACAGAAGGAAGGGGTTACTTGGCCCCTTGTTGGGGCATGGGCGTCGCCTATTTTTAACCCCCTGACTTTTTAAAAAAGGAGGGGGGACACCCCCGTTGCTGGCAAAGGTCGCCCCCCTCTTGTAAAAACCCTGACTTTCAGGAAAGGGGGTGTTTATGCCCCTTTTTTGCTGGCATGGTCGTCGCCTCTTGTTTAAAACCCAAGACCTTAAAAAGGGGGTGTTACTAGCCCCCCTTTTTTGCTGGCTGGTCGTCGGGCCCTTGTAAAACCCCCTTTACTTAAAAAAAAAGGGGTGTTACTAGCCCCTTGTTGCTGGCATGGTCGTCGCCCCCCTTTCAAAAAATTTAATTTCAGAAGGGGGTGTTACTAGCCCTTGTTTTTCTGGCATGGGTCGTTCCCCCTTTGTAACAAACCCATGACTTACAGAAGGAGGTGTTTCTTTCCCCTTGTTTCGGGGGTGGTGGGCCCTTCCAAAAAACCCCCGGTTTTTTGAAAGGGGGTGTTACTAGCCCCTTGTTGCGGCCCCCGGGGCGTGGGGCCCCTTGTAACCCCCAAGGGCTTTCAGAAGGAGGGGTTTCTAGCCCCTTCTTCTGGCATGGGCTCCCCCTCCCTTTTAACACCCCGGGCTTACAAAGGAGGGTTACTAAGCCCCTTGTTGGGTGGGGATGGCGCCGCCTCTTTAAAAAACCCAAAGGGCTTACGAAAGGGGGGGTTTAAAAAAACCCCTTTTTTGCTGGATGGTCGTTTGCCCCCTTTTTAACACCCCCTGACTTACAAAAAG